AAAATACCATGTAAGCGATGGTTATATACAGTTACGTATGGGTATCACGATATTCAGGGGCGTTCCTAAACATTTTTTCTTTTTTTTTTGGAGGAGGGTTAAATATTTTTACAACTACATATTTCAAATGTATTTATTTCACAAGAGAATAATTTTGGTAATAATTAATTTTATAGTACTAGAAAAATGTATTATATAAATAACCCTGGAAAATGTTTATAATATTCAATTTATATTTATATTTATATGTATAGAAATATTAGGTAAGTCATACTTATTTTCTAAATTCGTTTATATTTTGAGGAGGTGAAACACCCATCCCCCTTAGGCACACCCCTGTCGATTTAATATCGGGAGAAATGGTAAATAAAGTATTTATTTTGATAGCTATAATTTGATAAAAACGTATTAAAAAAAAAAAAAAAAAATGAAAAACATAATTACGTTAGTGTATATTTTTCTCTCATTGACAAAATTACTAAACACAGAAAACGTAATCGTTAGGGCTGTATGCACTCGATCACAGAAGTTTCCAAGGGTTACCTTTTAGATTTTTTCACTCTAGTTGCAGGTTTTTTTCGACCTACTTAAAATTTAATTATAACCATTGCGACAAAATGGTTCAATAAAAAGTGTCGACAAAATACCATAATAAATATCTCACGCACGTTTGTGCACAAATTTGTCCCACACTGTCTATGAAATATAGTTTCAACCCGAAACGATAACCTAACCTTAATCATTCCATCTTTAGATCATATTTAAATATTTCTAAGATAATGATTTCCGATTACAAATAAATCATAAAAGTTGTAAATATTGTTGTGTCAAAATAACATTAATTAAAATATCATTAATTATGTAAAATTATAGTATAAAATATTATGAGAATTGATTATTGAAATAAACTATTATACTTGACTTAACATATAGTATATATTAAAAAAACATTTTTCGGATGACTTTTATCAAAAATAAGTACAGGATCACACTCACAAATTCTCATTTAAAAATGTAATACTTTTGCTTTCTTTAATTAAACTTCAAGAAATAATAACGTAAATTTAATATTATCATTAAAAATAAAAAAAGTCAGTGCAATTAAATTGTCATAAAAACATTATAAAAAAAAAATGTAAAATTTAACTTTACGATAAAGAAATAAATATATTTTTATAAAGTAAACAATAAGCGTTAATTATTCTATGGCGAATTCTCGATTTTGTGATTCTTATTTACCACAACGTAGAAAAATGATAGACACCCTTGATTCAAACTGTAAAATCACTTTACAAAACGGTACAAAAGCACCTAGTTATTGTCCTTAGCTATTGTTGGTGTGAAGTCATTTCACCAAATGTTTTGAACGGAAATCATGTACAGGGTAACGATGCGTACCCGAAAACGCAACTATTATGAGAGGGGACAGTCCGCCGGAGCATAACGCGTCACCGGCAAAGTAACGATTCTTGACTGTTTACAAAAAACGGGAACCGCGATAATATATGACAACAAAATTGTGTTAATTTGGGTGTTATCTATTTTCGTATAAAAAAAAAAATAAATAAATAATTCGTTTCGGGTACCAAATTTACCGGCGCCATATTTAACCGCGTAAGAATTTTACAATTTTACAATTTTTCAACTTGGTATCGTGTAGTAAAATTATTTTCAAGATTATAAAAACAAAAATATACGTGTTAAGAACAAATAGTTGCATAATAGTTACGATAAAGATCAGGATAATTTGTTAAAAAAGTCTTAATTTCTATTTTATAATAATTTATTTACTATGATTATTTATATATAAATATATATATATAAAAAAAAACCGTAGTACTGACTATGAGTTAAATAAAATTGTTTAATTGATTATCCACTCGAGAAAAATATATGTTACTTTATTATAATTATACCAGGTACATTTTGCGCAAACGGGCTGTCGAAAAAAAAAATCTAATATTTTTAATTGTTGGGCGTAAATGGGCGATGCCCGTCCATTCGAATCGGATGCCCGTGGACCGTTGCACTTGTATTATGCGAATAAATTTAAGTGAGTGCCCCACAAAACGGTCGTCAAGAGAACGTTTTGTCGACATGAAATGATGGTGTAAAATCGAATACGACTAGCAACGGTAAATAGTAATTTATGCGTGACTTCCACTCCGGAAAAAAATAAAAATAAAAAAAGTACCGTTGCTTAAGTTTAACGTGAGCTTTTGTGCCCGCCCTTACACTACGCCGTAGCTCCTCTATACATGTGTGTGTACAGGTATATCGATAAAGAGAGCTAACGGATACTTTGATGTATTCACTACGGGACCATCGACAACTGAAGCATTTGATTGCAACAGTTTAGTTTTGAAACAGCTATTTATAAACTAAAGCAAAAGTTATATGTATGAACAGAATAATGTTATGAATATAATATAGGCTAAGTGTTTTTTTTTTTTTTTAGGGAGCGTGAGCTACACTAATGAAAATTATGTTCAATAACCGATAAACGCATAGCTCTTGGTCAATATTATTGACGCTTATCTCCTTTTATAACATCAATACATTTATTGCAGTTAAAGTCTGTCTTGTTCCTAAGGGTTGGTTAAGTTAGTTACTTGGGTATAAATTCAAATGTATTCTTTTTTTAGGGATTTGAAATCGATTGAATATAAACTGAGCCCGTCATTATTGCAACTGATGGGCTGATTTAATTTTTTAAGAACATTTTTTAAGATAACAATTTGTTATAGCGAAGGAAAGTATATATTAGGTTTTTCACTACATGTATACGAATCATATACAAATACTTTTAATTTTAAATAATGCTCTCAATACTCAAGATAAAATATAAAATTTTAGTATCTAGTGTGATGCAGATTTTAAGCATATATTTTGTTTTATAAACATTATAAAATGTGGTAAGTGATGAGAAATTGGACGTAATTACGATTAATCGTTACGTATATGTCGTTTGATGAACAAAGTTAATTGCTTATACAAAAAAAATAAAAAAAATTCTACACGTTAAATATAATATTGTTTGTCTTGTTAATTGGTTTTTTATTACACGCCAACGGATTTATCTAGAAATTGCACTTGCCAGGTGATCCACACATTTCATGTTTTATTTTATGAGATTTCCGTAAAAAATATTTTTCAATGAAAATTTTAAGCTCGAGGCCCTCGAAGACGCGAAGCCCTGGAAAAATGCCCCGTTTTGCCAATCCCTAACGTCAGCCCTGGTATAGCCTCAAACGATCGCTTATCACTTTTTGCCAGTCGACATTGTACGTTCCAGGACATATGTAGTGTACGCCGCTAACTTTGGTATTTTTCATATTTCCATTGGCATCTGCAGAGAGACCAAACTGATAATAATAATAATTGTTCAACTCCCCTGTAGCTTTTCGGAAAAATGTAACATTTCACGGATGTTATTTTCGTTGACGTTTTGTCGGAAAACGAATTTTTAATTTTTCAATAGTTACCGTAGGCTGCAGTTCTCACTGAAAAAAATTCGATTAAATACTCGTCGCCGTAATGGGATGCACAGACACGTTCTTCGGCGGTAGGACGCGTCCAGTATAATAACACACGTGTTACACCCGAATACAATTACCGTCGTGACCGTTGAGTCCGTAGGGCCAGTGGGGTAAAAAAAAAAAAAAATTCAAAAATAATATCCAATCCACTACGCGATTTCGCGTTTTGCTCGGTAATACGCGATACGTGATATTATCATCGTTGTGTCCGTAGCACTCGGTCCTCTCGAAATCACGTTCTCGCGAACGATTTCTTTTCGTCGGGTCGGCCGCGTTCAGTTCCCGTCCGCGAGCACGAAAACTGTCATCGTAATTTTCGCGTTTACAAACGGGTTACTGACTGCTGCGTGACACGTTTTCAGAACCATCGCCCGTACGACGGAATAAAACGTAAAATACATGATACAAATTTATTTTTATTTTTTTTAGGCCATTAGGACGTATCGCAGCTTCCATCATCCCCTCCGCACATTACGGTTACCCCGTCATAATCTAATAATAGTAAATTTGGAGGGTATTTGTAACGCGAAAGAATCGAGTAGCGCATTTTAACGACCAGGAAGTAGTACAGATAAGTGTTCAGTATCGAAACAAAAAAATTTACTGTGAATAGTTAAAGAGTTATGGGGCACAGACCTATCCTCGCATTCGCAAGATCTTAGTTGCGCTACTGATAAACCGCTACCTCAAGTGCGGCATTATACTCGTACATGCACATAAAAACATAGAACGTGTTTTTCAATCGGTCAGTGTATTAATAACGGATAATAATATACGGTACGAAGGGCCGAGGATTTTATTACATTCATCGACGCATAGACATTAATAACATGTTATCATTAGTCTACGATAATTTACATCGATAACATATAACATAATAATTGGCAAAGCCCCACATAAGTACATGTTTCAGAAATAATTGAATAGTAAAACTGGTACACGTATACAGCGTTAATCGAAAAATCGTATTATTTACAAGGCCTATACTAATAATGGTTTTTAATCGGAGAACCGCGAGCAGTGTGTGTTTAACGAATTCAAAAATTTTAAGCTCGAAATTCGATCACGTACACTTGCCACAAGAGCATTTCTACATATTTAAGAGAATAAAAATAAAAATTCCACCTTATTTTGCATGAAGTTTTTTTTATCTGGTTTGGATTTTCATTCGTTACTATTAATTTTCATGAAACGTAACTTGACTGTGAACGATGCTCTCAAGTAAAAAATGTAATCGAATCAAAGTCAAATCATTATCGGAGAAAATCGCAGTTAATCGTTATTGACATTTCATAGGGTTTTTTTTTTTTAATTAAGTTTACAACAATAATCGATTTCAGATTTCTCAAATAAAAATGTGAAACAAATCGAAACACATCCCAATCGTATGGTTTCAACGAGAAATATATGTATATTTATATTTGATGAAAGATTCAACGGATAGGTGCGGTTGTGTTTTAGGCGTTCGCGTCGAGCCAACAGAACGCGTCGGACGTGCGGCCGATAATCGTGTTGCCGACGCCGACGGCGGACAACCGGAAGTTGCGACCCGAGAACGCGGTGCTGACCAACGACGTGGACCCCGGGTCCATGATGTCGCTGTTCAACGTGGCCGCGGCCAACAACGTGAGCGTCGAGCAACTGGCCATGGCACTGAGACACCGGCAACAGTGGCCGTCGTTCTACTCGGCGTCCACGGACACGCAACCGGCGACGACCACCACCGCCACGACCAGCACGACCAGTACCACGACCACCGCAGCGCCGCCACCGCCGACCACGACCACGACTGCGGTATACGACATGCCGGATGAGCCGCCGGCAACTAAGAAGATCGCCATTAAACCGTACAGGTACGGGCATGCGAGCGGCCACAAAGTGATGAACGCGCCCAACGAGTACTACCCCGTCGGGTACGACAAGAACTTCGACGATCACTTCGTGTCCAAAGTGGACTTGCCCGACACCAGCTTTAGCTGCGGCGAACAAAAGCATTTCCCCGGTCTGTACGGTGACGAGGACTTGGGCTGCATGGTGAGTAAAAACAACCAACCGGTTAGTCTTAGTCACCGATGTCCGTTTTCGCTAGGACCGGACGACGGGTTTTCATGACCGTTTCGCTAGGGGGAGGGCGACATTGACGTCGAGAGTGAACGTTTCAAAAAAAATCTAAAAAAAAAAAAATAATAATAATGGTTCAAAAAATCTTACTCAAAACAGTTCCATCTTTATCGCAGTTCCGAAAGCTGAAACGTTTAAACGAAAATTATCATTATCCGCGCCATTATGATGGTATTGTACGTTATCAGACTCGTTTCATCACGAATTCGTGTAAATCATTCGGCTATTATCCGTAGTGCGATTGTGAACTCGTGCGTTCAAATCGACTTTGGAAATTTTTATTTTCGAGGAAAAAAATAAATAAAATGTTTTGAAATAGCGTCATAGTGAACTTTTACTCGTTAACATAATGATTTGCTGTTTACGCTTCGTCCGCGAATCATTTCGTAGGAATAGGACGGACGAGTTATCACGAACACTTAAGTTCACCTTAAGGTAACCATTGAAGTTCCATCAAAACTGCCCGTGAATTAATGAAACATAAACATTCGATGTCGAGGGAAAAGTTTAGTATTTCAGATCCAAAACGGAAAAACCCGTCCGTTACGCATAGTTATCCGTAGAATATCGAAATGTATTAGTATTAGTTTTGATAGAAGTAAATATATATATATATATATATTCATCTACCAAAGTGCACGTAAGCGACGCAAGTGAAAAATTGCATACGGCGAACACACCCGCCACCGATTCCTATTCACAGCATCCGAAAACGGTGTATATGGATTAGGGATGGGAAAAAAACAACGATATTTTAGGTCGATATACCGATATTTTGTTTTTGATTAATCGATTAAACATCGATATTTATATTTGAAATTTTCAAATTTTTTTTGTTTGTATTATTTTAGTATGCAGTACATCAATCGCTATATAGTATACGCTATACACTATACAGTTATAATCAGAATCCTATGTTCATGCACTAAAAACTGCATAAATAAGAATGCAATTATGCACCAACATTTGATCAAATATGAATTCAAATATGAATTAAAAATCCTTATTTATGCACGAAAAAAATGTATAAGTATTTTTTTTTAAAACAATAAGAATTATCCATTCATATTTTTAAAATTTTTATTTTATTTCTTCCATTACATTGTATTAAAATTATAACTAATGAACACACTCTACGACCAAAATGAGAGGAGATTGGTATTGGTGTGCAATAACATTGTTTCCGTGGTACTGCTTTTAATTTATAAAACTTAAGTCATAAAAAAAAAATAAATTATTGATAATATACTAAGACCTTCAAATAAATTCGGAAAAATAAATAAGAATGAATTCAACATTTATTTATCTAATTTTTTTTTTGAGTTTCACAAAAAATAATTTTGCTGAATTTACATAAAATAATATGCAATAATAACTCAAAAAAAAAAATCAACTATATTCCAAATATATCAATAAACACAAAACATGCAAAAACATTCTCTATTAAACTTTAAATTTTTTATTACCATTGTTATGAAACGGATTTTTATCTCAATTAGCATATTTTCCGATGTAGCAATAACACATGTAAATGTATGAACTTACAAGCCCAGATTATAAGTATCTAATATGTATTTAAAAAATATAAGTTAAACAATAATATTTTAACTCTTGACTTGATTATTTAATAAGGCAAATAGTACACTATACAGATAAAAAGATGTGCAATAAATGATAGATCTAGAGGGAAAAACATTTTTTCGATGTTTTTAAAATTCGATGTTCTTAACATCTTTTTCATCGATACATCGAACCAGTATCGTGCCTATCATAATTAGCGCCCGGTTACAAATATAAATTTTAGCTCCCTGACCCCTCTACAAAATTTTTTTGGACCATATAATTATAGTTAAGCTAAAACTATAAGGAGAGTACTTAAGAATAGAGGATTTTATATAACTACTTATTTTGTATTTATTAAATTAATAAAACAAATAATCAACGACTAAAGAACAATATAAGTAATATAACTCAAACTGATAATTTGACGCCATGTTTTCTCACCCTGGTCTACTTGATTGAACAAGTAACCCTGAAATTTCGACTCTAGATTTAAATCTATAGTTCCCGTTATACCAGACAAATTATGATTCAACGATCTTACTCTATCCAAATCCCTAATAATCAAATTTAACCGATTACGCATAAGCCATCATCTATTACCTTCTTGTTTGTAATTTAAATCTTAATGATTCACTTCCAGTGGTGAAATTATCGGGAGTGTTGGGTGTAAAATTCACAGAGACCCCCAGTTTTGGAGGGCTCTAAGATATCTTCTAATATTATCTTTTTCTTCCCTTACAATATTCCTATTATAATCTATAATATACACATATTATATTATTTTTATTAATATAATAACAATAAATAATAATATAAGTCTGGAAATTTTCACATTGGCCCCTTATGATCAAGTTACGCCCTTTTCTACTCACTCCATTTAGAAGAAAAAAATTCTGTATCCTATCTTATATTCTCTTTGATTGTCCTTTCTTACCTACCAAATTTAATATCTTTATTAGTCTCTCAATAACACATTCAATACCTTCAGCATTCTAAATTTAAAAATCTGCTCTCATTCTAATTATTTTCTTCATTCACGGGACTGGTTTCTGTATATAATATTTTATTATTTTAATATTTTTATGTCATATGTTTTATCTATTGTATTTTAATTAATTAATCGATGTATTTTATTATAATTGTCGAGCTTAACAGTATATCTGAAAAGCTCTATAAATAAAAGAATAACTTTATAGGTAGAACAAAACATGTAGATAATAACTTATCATTTTAAACCGGTATAATTTATTTACGAATTAAATTTATTCGATTGTACAAAAAATAACTTACGTTTTTAAATAATTGCTAATGAAAAATAATTGGGTACCTTTGCAACTTCTGCATTCATGAACTATGATGTGAAAACTATCTATCATAGGCGGGTTCAAAATAAAATCGTACAACTCGATCAAAGAGGGCAAAAATAAATACTAATACTAAAAATGAACTAGCAACGCCGCCGATCAAGACAATGTTAATGATGTCGAATACGCACCGATACCATGGCATTACACGTGTTAAATATTTTAAGTTAAATTATATAGTTCACTATTAGTAATATTACTTAGAATTACTTGTGAAAAATCTTTTGGCACCCCAGTGTTCATGGCGCCCAGTACACAGGCACCTCTCGCATCCCCCTAGGCATGGCCCTGCATCGAACACATCGATATTTTAGAAATCAATAAATTGCTCAAACAATTTTCATTGCCTATCCCTAATATGGATACATCTACGTATCTCTTATTAAATTTATTTCGAGTCCAAAGAACGATAGTGCTCACCATCTCACCGTGACACCTCCACTTTGTCAACACCGATTTATTCGCCTCCCCCTTAGCCCTAACCGATGACGGTTTAATAAGGGATTGTGAACGGAAGTGTATTATATTCTTCGGACCGACGCCACGTTTCGAATTCGACTGTACAGGTCTGTTTTCTGTGAACGTCACGTCGCGACGGGTCGGTCGAAAATGATTGCTTAACGAACTGCAAATAGAAGTGCATTTTGTTTGTCACGTCGATGACGTGTTTCGAATTTGTCTGCATATTTTTTCACGGAGCCTGTGTTGTTCGACGACGATTCCTTAAGGGATTGCGAACGGAAAAGTGTATTTTATTCGTCGTGCCGATGACACGTAATCATGTGCGTGATAAATGAGCGCACGTGCCATCGTGGTGAATGCGCGAGGGTAAAAAATAACGAATGTGTGACAACAATTGATCGACTGTAGTGTGCGAACGCGTGCACGATCTCGAACAAATCGATTTTAATTTTGAACAATCAAATGTAATGTTGAATCACGTATTCGTTGAAAAGTTTTACGGACATCATCATCTTATAGTTCCTTTTCTATTGTAACACTTCGTGTTGGTTTGATTTTCGACAATTATTTTCCTTCTCCCGTCACAGTCTACATTCAAAGGCATTCGTAATGGAGCGATAATAAATTGAAATAAATGACAGACGAACGCGTTTCCGATAATCGAACACCTTGTTCGAAGAAAAACGATTAGTGTGCACATTTAATGCATTATTTTACTTATTTTTGAAATAATAACAAATATTGAAAAAAAAATATGTGTTAAATATTAACTAATGCTCACAATGTTGACAAGTGTTCACTTGTCTAGATTTATCTTAGATTAATATTTTGTTATTCTAAATAAGGTCATCTAGGTATATTTTTTATTGATCAAAAACGCCAGAATTGATCAAACAAAAATTTGAAATTTTTATTTAAATTGTCAATCAAAGTTTATAAGTTAAAAAATATACAAATACAATTTATATAAATATATAAATGACAATAATTTTTTTTCTTATGACATGCCGGTAGGTATAATGTTATTGTTTATAAATAGAAATTGAATATATACAATAATTAAACATATGATATATTTTAATATAATATATTTTAGTTCTATGAATACAAAAATTAAATCGATTTGAGTAGTATAAATAAATTAAAGTGTTTGAATATAAGTTACAAGATTATTTACGTTTTCAGCAATCGCGCATTCACTTTATAATGATCTAGAACTGTAAATTTAAATTTAAAACGACAAAGGTGTTTTTATAATTCAGTACAATGTATAACCGTGACCTGCATTATAATACTTACATAGGCAAAGTGTAAAACAAAACGTATTCACAAAAAACCCTTTTAAAAGAATGAAGATTATAAAAACAAATATTGAACAGTTTAAAATATAACTACTGAAGTAGAGATAGCTTTTTCTAAATTTAAATTTAAAAAATAAAATCAAGTTTATCAATGAAAAAATTCAAAGTTAAAATGTGATATATATGATATGGAAGTTTTTTTTTTTTTTTTTATTTATTTAAA